GGGGGTCACGGGGAAGACTGCAGCACAGAGAAGACAAGTAGTGACTCTACAGCATCTCACTACGCTGGTGGACAGTGATTATTTGTAATCACTATGCCAAGTTAAAAATGTTTGCCTCCCACGTTCAAGGGTAGTAGACTGGAAATCAAGTTGTCAAAGGGCCCATGATGTCATCCATCGTGCTCGTGTAATGAAACCCCATTAACAAACAAAAACTCTGAAATGAGGCTCAGAGAGCTTCTCTGGGCTGGTGAACAATCTACAGACTGAGAGGGTGGCATGCCTGGGGAAGGCATGCAGACCTTACCCACACCTTGCTGCCTAGGCGTATCTTCGTCTGGTTGTCCCTTTATATCCTGGAGAAGTACATCAGCGATCCTAGATACAGCTTTTCCTGAGTCATTCTAGTGAATTATCAAACCTGAAGGATGGTCATGGGAAACATGGGAACCCCCAAACTTGTAGCCAAGACAGACAGAAGAGCAAGCAGCCCAGGGACTTGGGATTTTGGGGTGGGAGCGGTGCTGTGGGTCTGAGCCCCTTGACCTGTGGCGTCTGTGCTGAACTGCATGACAGTGGGTGAATTTCCACTTTCCTCAGCATTGAACACTCACCGTGTTCTAATACAGAGCCTAACAGCAAATTTCCTCCACCCCCTGGGGTTCTTGCTTGAGTGATAAATCCTGTCTCCCTCTAAAAAGCCTCCACATCAATTAATTCTTGCTCATCCAGTATTATACTGCATCCCACTTATCAAGCCCCTTAAAATCCAATCCCAGGTACACCCACCCTGGTTTGTGCCTACTAAGCAGTACACATTAAATTACCATAAATGAAATTTTCTCTATTAGATAATAGAGTATAAAATATATAACTCATAAATGTAAAAGTGATTATTAAATCAATGTTTTGGGAAACAGCAATTTGTGAACTTGATTACACATTTCAGAACACACACACCAAAATGAAGTCCAGGTAAGTAGTGTTTAGTCTTTTCACAAAAGCATTCAACCATTACATATTTTTGAGAAACAAGCTAAGAGGTATTATTTAATGAGGAAATATTTTTCAAACAAAAACACAAGTTATAAAAGAAGATTATCAACACATTTGGCCACATAAAATTTGTGACCAATTAAACTTAGTATAAATCCAAATATGCACACACACACATCCATATATAATTGTGACAGAAATTACACAAGTATTTCAGATTTTGAAATTCATACAAATGCAATTCTGTCACCAAAAATGTGTTCCAGCAAAAATCTGTTAATACACATAACCACTATTTTTCACTCACTGGATATAATCAGCAGGCAACATCATCTCCTACGCTTTTAAATATTCAGCTATTTTTCTTCCACCCACAGAGAAAAGGAAACACCTTTTTCTCAAGTAATAAAAAAGTCCAGAGCTGTTTTAACTCACACAGCACTGAAACAGAATGTCCAGCCCCGTGTAAGTACAAAAATGCCAAAGTCAGAGTTCATCAGCTGGGCCCGGCTCAGGAGTGGTCCTTTCTTCCTTCCCAACTGCACCCCTCCTCCCTCC